CTGAGCCTGGAACGAGTGACGACAGCAGCGGTGACAAGGGGTCCTCCGTCCCCTGGAGAGGAAGGGTGGGGGAGGAGTCAGATGCCAGCTGGGCTGCCCCTTGCGGGTGCGGGGAGGGTCCCCAGGTCCACCACCGCGGTGCAGCCTCGGGAAGAGCCTGGGAGGTGGTGCCCAGCGACTTTCCGCTGTCTTGGCTGCGTTACACCTCTCAGCTTTGCGGCCTTTGATTCAGCAAAATCAAGGATGCAAACTTCTTAGGAGTACTTAGTTTCCACGGCAACCAGAGCTGACCTCAACATTATTGTTCTCAAGAGGGGACTGACTTTACTATATGTTCATTCACTGAATTAATGGACTCCCGGTTCTTTTATCAGCAACCCCGGAACAATGGAAAGAGAGACATGTCGTCGAAGGGCTTTCAGCCCCTGTCCAGCCTTTTGTGCCCGGCTTACTGCGAGGAGGCCAGTCTATTCAGCCCGAGATTATCAAAATCAACTCGAGGCTGTGTCAGGGCAGCTAAACACACTTTGATTTCATAAAGACATAACTGATCCCTCATGCAAATTAATAATTTCTGACGTTGGGGACTCTGGTGTGATTTTTTTCCCTTTCTTGCAATAAAGAGTGTTTGTAGGGAAACTGCCGTGTAGTTACAGTGCACGGTGGGTTCCCCGTGTAGTGGGCAGGCTGGCAGGGGGCAACCCGGAGAAGGATTTCGAAAACTCCCCTCAAAGGCACAATGCTTGATATCGCCAAGCTAAGGCGGCGACAGAGTCCCGGGTTACAGTGAGTACCCAGCCCCATGGCCCAGTTCAGCACCTCCTTCGGAGCTTCAGCGTCTTCTGGGGTCTCTGCATATCTTATTCCAACTGCATTGCTCACCCTCCCCCATCTTTCCCTTACCCTCCAGCCACTTGGAAAATACCTCTGCTTCCCCCAGGAGGAAATAATACAAACAAAATAAACCATAGGCTGAGAAGCCCAAGACCAATCCCTGGCTATGCCGTGCGGTGTTGTGCGGAGCTATCCGCCAGCCAAGGCCTGGAGCTCAGCCCTGCACGAGGCGAGGCGTAAGCCACCGCCGGGACGTGGCCTGTCCAGGCCTCGGGGTGTGTGGCCCCTGAGTAATTCCTGCACAAAGGACACTTGGCAGTTGCCCGTCTGTCTCTGCCCCCTCTCCCTGGAGCACGCTGAGCTCTCATCCCTGGCTCTGTAGTCATCCTCCATTAGCTCTGGGTCCCCGGGGAGGGACCCAGAAGACCTCTGAGCTTCCTGTCACCAGAGGCATCTGGCCCGGCCACACAGCGGCCCAGTGGGACAGGCCGAGGGTCTAACAGCCACATAATCATTTCACAAATTATCATAATTATCAATCAATCACCTTGTTTGGACAATGCGATGCAGGGCTACCAGATGACTTTTAGGACCTGTAGCATTTTGTAAGTTATAGTAACAGGGGAGATTTATGAGCCCATGGTGTCCCTCTTCCAGCCATGGGGCTCTGTTAGCTCAATTTCTTTTCGACTCCTTTGGTGCCTCCCGCCCCTGCCCCGAGGGCTTCGCAAGAGGAACCTCCTCCAGGTCCTAGTCCTCTTCCTACCAGGCAAATTCCTGATTTGTTTGGTGGGGGAGTGAGTCGAGAAAGGGAGACAATAAAAATACAAAGAGAAAGGGCACTTCCTTTTGTCAGAGCTTCCCCCCAGCCGCACTGTATTAACACGTCCATCCTTCCTTTTAAAGACCGTGAAAGAAAACAAGATAAAGTAGGACAAAGGCAAAGGCCATGGGGCTGTGTTTCCCTTTTTCATATCACCAAAGAGATTGAATCAAAATTCCTTCAGCTGATACCATCTCCCCGGCGGACTACGCTCTACGCTCTTGTTAACGGATAAATTCAAGCCCTCCAGAAAGTCAAAGAATAAATTTAAGCCTTTTGCCAAATGTCTATCCTATTGGATTTTGATAAGACGGCCATTGAGCCTTAATAATGTCTTCCATCCATTTTCCACGAGCCCTTAACACGGCTCTTTATTCGTCCCCAAAGCCTCCTCGCCCGGCCTTTTTATTACGGGCCCGGCACGCTCTCCAGGGAGCCGGCGCTGACGGATGGACCGGCTCGATTATCTCCCGCAGATGTTTGCTCTCCGGACCCTGGGCTTTCCCTAGGTAAACAGAGCCCGGCCGAGGGGCAGCGGGCGGCAGCGCGAGGGGACGCTGGGGACGCGCCCGGGTGCACACGGCCGCGGGAGCAAGACTGGGGCTAGGGGCCGCCAGGGCGGAGGCGGAGGGGTGGCGGTGGCTTCACCCCTTCTGGGGGCGGGGTCTGGCAGGGCCACAGCTCACAGGCTGGGGCCGATGTCGCTCTGACGGAAGCCCCGCCCTCAGAGCAGCCCCACCCGGCGCAGGTCCCCTGGGGTCTTGGGTTCGGATCTTACACTGCTGCGAGTTCTGAGCCATCCTCCCTGGGCCTGGGCTCCCTCTGTCACCTTTGCAGCCTCTGCTGTGAGCTGCTCCCCAGTACAGAATTTCTAACAGTGACTTCCCGGTATATGTCCCTTTCCCGGTTGCAGTGTCAAGCCCCTGATAGCGTAGCCTGTTACACTTCAGTGAACAGACAGAGGACAGGAGGTAGAGTCCTCCCCAGGGTGGACAAGCCGAAGCTGAGACGCCAGCAGAGCAACCCAAGGTCACAGCCAAGGTCACCCAGGCCCCACGCTTCCCATCTTATTTTCAATGCAAGCTGTGGCCGTCTGGGCGACCCAACTACAGAACCACCCCGCCAGGAGGTCACTGAATTCGTCCCTGCAACATCACACGAGTGCGTGTGTGCAGTGTCATCGGCAAGAAGCGCTAGGTATTTATTTACCCGCATCGCCCACAGCTCAGCTGCGCTCTGTGAGCTGCCCTCCCTGTGCAGAGGCGAAGTGAGGCTGGGAGGCCTGCGCTCTGGTCCCGACAGGTGACCCGGCTGCCGTGGAGGGGTCCAGACCTGAGCAGCAGCGCCAGGTTCTGATCATCCCACGAGGAGACCTAGGCAGACACCAGAGCCCCGAATGCTGCCATCAGCTCCACTCGAGGCTGGGAGATGGTGGGCTCTGGGGGCTGTGGTGTGCCGTGTGGACAGCAGGTGGGTGAGGACCCCCGGCCCCTGGCTGGGGGGAGTCGGAAGGCTGCTGGGCAGGCCTGCTGCCCCATGCCCTCTGGCCTCCGAACCTCACCCTGCCCTGCCTCTTGTTCCGGCGTCGCGGAGGCCAGGTCTGTTCTGTGTCACCCCGACCCGTGTTCCATGAGGCCCCCTGCCACGCCCTACACTGGGGAGTCCAGAGTGAGTGCCTGGGTGTGCCCGCCATGAGCGCTGAAGATGACCTTGGGCCACACCAGGCCTGACCCACATGCAAGGCTGATCTCCAGCAGGAGCAGAGGGGCTCGGCCGCTGTCTCTTCCATCCTGTCTTACTCTGCTTGGGTTCAGGAGCGCCCAGTATCTGCCGCTTCTCAGGCCTCCGACTTCAGACTTGACCTTCGGACCCTCACACCCAGACTGGCAGCCCCAGTGGCCACCAGCCTCTATCTCCCCTGCGAACCCCAACCCCACCCGGCCACCACTGTGACGCATCAGGAAAAACAAGGCCAGCTCTGAACGCCCGGCCCAGCTGTCCTTGTTCGGCAGGAAAGCAAAGGTCTCCTCCCTTTCTAGAAGGCGTAAGATTGGTGTCGTTGGCTGCAGGCCGCATTCCCGGGGAAGTGAAAACACCACAGTTCTTTGAGAAACAGAAAAACCGCTTCCTGCCTCTCTCTACCTTATATCCTTGGAGAAAATTCCAATGCGTTCAAAGAGGCAGGAAAGGGGAGAGAGAGGGAAAGAACATGGTGGGAAATTGAGCCGCTTAGTCACTTTAAGGAAAGAGGGACCTAGGTCTCCCCCTGGGCAGTGGGGACTGAGATCTTGTCCCCAGAGGGTCCCTCTGAGGTCAGGCAGCCTGTGGGGACAGGGTGAGCACAGCCCACTGGAGCCTGGGCAGAGCTGGCACCTGGTTCTCTTCTCCCTGGGGGAGCAGGGAGGGGCACTGCCCACGGAGGGCGGCTGGGCTGGGTGTGAGGCCAGGGGCAGGGTCCCAGGCACAGATTCGGTGTCGCGGAACCCGGTGGGCCGCTTGGCTGACTTGGCCTCCCCTGCAGCCTGTACTGAGCTCCAGGTGCTGCCTGGTGGGGCGCATGTGGGGCCTCTGCCCTTTATCTTGCTTCCGAACAGACATGCTCAGGGTGGGGAGGTCACCTTAATATCACCAGACACCCCAAACACCAGATCAGCTACGCGCACATGTGTGCGACTGTTTGCATGGATGCGTGAGCTGTGGCTTGAGAGGCTGAAGGCCTGGGAGGAGCTGTGAGGACCGGCCCTCCCTCGTCCAGGGTCCACACCGAGAGTGCACAGCTCTGCACGGCTCGTGCGTGCGCTCCCTGGGGCCGTGTGTGTCTCTCTGAGGACTTCTCTCGGGATCTCAAGCCTGTGTTTACCAACCAGCTACTATCCATCATCGGTCTGCAGAGGAGTGGATGATGCCACATTACACTTCTTTCCCTAATGGTTTGCTTATTTAAAGCTACGCCTGAGCCCTCTTTGGAAGCTCTGGGTGCAGCTGAAGGCTCCGCTGAATCTGCAGCCAGTGGTTTCTCCCCCTGCCCTTTCACGTGAGAGTCCAGTGAAGATAGTTAAAGAAACATAGCCTGTGTTTATGTAGTTTCTGTGTGCGTGCCTGGCCTGCAGCATTCCCACAGGTACAGGGTTCTTCTCTGTTCTTAAGCTTTGGGGTGCCCAGTGGAGTGACCTCCCCCTGCTTACACAGGGAAAATAAGCATCCCCCTGATTCCTGAGTCACTGTCCTCAGGAGCGCCTTGCTCCTGGACCGCCGGCAGCACACGAGCTATACTCGCAACTCAGGGACCACGGAAATGGCAAGGTCACCCAACCAGAGATAAGACCAGGACGAGGTCGCCTACCTTCTTGATGCAGCCTTCCTGGGATGACACCTCCGTAGCTGTCAGCATCGGCTGCAAGACAATGGTGAGAGGGGCTGTCAGCGCATGAGATTCCTTCTCAAGCTGAGGGGCGATCGACACCGGGGCAGATCAATGGTGAGGGTGGCCGGTGATGACTGGGACCCCCTCAATTGCGACAGAGGCTCCCCCACTGTCAGAGGACTCTGAGCATCCCTGGGGTGCTCTCCCTGGAAATGCTGTCCTGGGCCCCTGCTGGGTAACTCACTGCGGTGGGGACCGGTGGGGTGAAACACGAGGACATGGGAATGTGTCACGGTCTGCTGTCACTCCCCCAGGGGCCCCAGCAACCTCAACCCCAGCAGGTTACACCGGGAGGTGACTTGGCCTGTCTGCCCAGCCTGGAGGGTGAGGAGGACCATGTGGTGCCAGCCTCGGGCACTGCCAGTCTGGCTCAGGAGGCAGCACTTAGGGGAGCCGTGGAGTCCAAGCCAGGCCCAGGAGGGCAGACCTGGGGGAGGCAGGAGTGAGGGCCGAGGCTGCCTTCCCTCCCCTGCTTCTTTCTGGGCCGCCGCTCAGAGGCAGCAGCCTGGGACCTGCTCTTTGCTGACCCTGGGTCCTGAGAAGAGGGCGTTTGACTGCGGTGTTGGAGGGAACGGCTCCAGGCCGGGGTGACCGGGCGGAGGCAGGGGCTGTGGTGCCCCACATCACAGAAGCTCCTCTCCTCCCCTCACGCCGGCCCTGGGCGCCATGGGAGCCCAGCCCTCCGTCCCGCTCATGGGCAAGGCTGGCAACAGGAGGACAAGTGGCACAGCCCAGACCTTTCTCCCAGCCCAGGCTCCACTCGGGGCGTGGCCCTGGGCGGCTGTGGCCTCTCGCCTGCTGTTGCCTCCTGCAACCCACCACGCTCCACACCTGAGGGGGTGCATCCATGGCTGCCCCAGCGCGCTTTCCAAGCTAAGCAAACTGACAAATTCACAGACTCACACGTGTCAGTCATCACGCTGTTTCCACTAGAACAGCAAGCAACCAAACCAGCACTGGAACAAGAAATGACGTCAAGTGCAGACGCTCCTCCCCTCCCCTCAGAGCCCAGCCGGTGCCCACTGATGCCCACGCAGCCAAGGCAAGAGGCCCCAGGCACAGCGTCCAGCACACGGGCTCGTTCACCAGCCCAGCTGTCACAACAAGAGGTCATGTTTCTAAACGCGGAGAGTTCTAACCAATCGGAGATTTTATGTTTCACTTAATAGATTCTGAGATTGTGATTTGGAAAGTGGCAGTAAGTGAAGAGAGCGTGAGACAGAAAGGTGAAGGCCACAGGAGGCCCGGGGACGTCTCTTCCGGGAAGAATCCACCCAGAGTCGGGTGCACGGAGTGTCGGCCTCAGGGGCAGAGGCTGCATCTGGGCCGCGAACTCACCTGTGTCTGCCCTCCCGCCTGTCTACTCTCAGCCCCAGTGCAGGCCAGGGAGGGCAGCCAAACCGTGGTTGGTGCTGAGACAGAGGAGGAGCGAGGTGCGAGTGGGCTGCTCTGGGCCCCCTGGGTGCCAGGCCCTTCTCCTAGGAGAGCACGAGCCTCGGGAGCCACCTGGCCCGGTGGGTCGGGATCCCAGTCCTTCCTGCCACCTGGCTCCCATGGGCTCAGAGACCTGCATCTGGAGAACCCACCAGCCGTGCCCAAGCCCGCAGGAGAGGCGTCCCTGAGAGCTGGTTGGCGTCCGGCAGTGGCGGCTCTCCACATGCTGCCCAGGCACGTGGGCCTTCTCACCTGACGCCCGGCTCAGCCCAGGGGACACCTGTGTCCACAGACTTCGGGCTGCGGGTCACCACAGCCACTGCCCTTTGTCCGAGCCAGGAGGTGGCTGGGTGGGGTGGGTGCTGGTTAATTTACCAGTTGGTGGCGGCTCCCACCTACACTGAGCCATCGTGGGACAGACACAGAGAGGGACACTGGAGCAACGCCATCCCCAGCGTCCAAGACACACTAGGGAGAGGACCACCCGAGGGCACGTGCCCCCGGGGGGAGGGTTAGAGGATGCACCCTACGCCATGTGTGTGAGGCCAGCTTTCCTGGGCCGAATGATGCCAGGAGGGATGCCCAGCCCAGAGCCCCTCAGAGGAAGTGGGTGCTGTGGCTTTCCAGAAAGAAGCACCTCCTGCAGCTGAGGCCGAGCCCTGTTCCGGAGCCACTGGCCCTGTTTCACAGCCCCCTGGCAGGTATGAATACTATTAACACGGCCTCCTCACCTGCTGCTGACCTCGGTGGAGACCTCGGGACGCACCCCCAGAGCCACTGTCCTTGGCTTCCTCCCTGGCTGGGCCACGCTCCGCTGAAAACCCTCTTTATTTGCTGGCTTAGCCTCGGCACACACACCGCTGGCACGGGGACGGCTGGCAGTGGCTCCCTGCTCTCCACTCCTCTGCACCCCGGCAGAGGTATTAGGTGTGTTTTGATTAAACATTTTAGCCGAAAACATGAGGTCTGACCTCTGGCATTTAGCTTCTCTCTCGAGTGTCAGTGCCAGGATTTAGCTAAGTGGGGTTGGTCAAAACATCTTTTTTGACTCTTAAAATAAATACCCTCTGTTCTCCAAGAAATCAGCGAAGAGCTGACACACGCTTGCACAAGACCCCACCTGGGCTCACAGCTTGGCAGGCTGGCCTGTCCCCGAGGGCCTGGCACTCCCTGCAGGACACAAACACATCCCAGAACCCTCCTTCCCTTCAAAATGATGCGGTACTGGAGACTCTGAGGGCATGGCCACAGGAGCAAGTGGGGATCCGGGCCGTGCCTGCGGGAGGAAGCCCAGAGCAAGCCTGGCCAGGGGGCAGCTCCAAAGCCAGAGAAGGGCACAGAGTCCGCTGTGTGACACCCCCTGCAGCCCAGCCTGGAGGATGATCCCTGAATCCTCTGCTGTACCTTCCTCCTCCGGGCCTTTGAGCCTGACCTTTCTCTCTGACCTACATTTCTTCCTCCTCCAGTTAGAAGTCATGTATTTGAACCCTGAGATGTGGTGTGAGCCCAGGACCTGCAGGAAGCCGACTCTGAGGCCTCCTCTGGGGCTGGGTCGGTGCTGCCTGTGCCGGCCTTGGGTTACTAGGGGAGGGAAGGGAAAGTAAGGGCTTCAGGCTGTGCCAGAGACCATGGGAGTACACAGCTGAGAGCGGTGGCCAGTCACCCTTGAGGTCAGGGCTGTGGCCTCCACATGGCCACCCTTCTCCCAGGGTCTTCGATCCCAGAAGTAGGCCTCTGATGCGCTGAGGGTCGGGCCTCACAAAGCCACTGTGCCCAGAGCCACCTCATCCTGGGAAGGTGAAATTTTTAAGAACAATTTTCACCCTCGATGTTCCTTCCAAACCAAAGCCCTGTGACTGTTGCCAACTTCCCTGGTGTAAAGGTGGCATTGAAGTCTTAGGGACAGTGAGGATGATGACGGGAGCAGTGGGTCATCCTTCTGGCGTCACAGTGGGGAACACAAACTCCCCTGCCTCCAACAATGTCCCTGAGGGGGGCAGGTGCCAGCAGCCTCAACGCCATACAGACAGGAAGCAGAAGCTGGGGAAGCTGAGACCCAAGGTGAAGGTCGGGGTGCTGCTGAGTTCTGGGCCGCACTTGAGTCTGGCCTCGGACACTAAGCTCAGAGGGACAGAGGCCGCTGGGCAGCCACGGGGACAGCAAGGAGCCCCACGCCCTGGGACCCACACCTGACGCTGGCCAGGACAGCCTGGGGGGCGCCCTGAGCCGAGGCGCTGGCCCGGGTGAGCTGTGTGGCGGCCTGCTGGCCCACTGGCAGTGCGGGAGGAACCACGAAGGTGTTGAGTCACCAGCCGGCCCTGGCTCCCGAGCAAAGGCCCTAGCCATGTTGACACAAACCCTTGAGCTCTCAACTGGGAGTGGGGTCATATTTATTTATTTTTTGCATTAAAAAAACCAGCTTGGCTGTGTTTGAGCTGCAGAAGTGATTTTTTTAAGGAGCTGTGGACGCTGTTTTTAGCTTTTATGCCTAAACAGATACTTCTCAGTTCTTTCAAGTGCGAGTGCCCGATGAATGGAGGCTCTCTCCCGCTCCTAAGAAAAATATTTACACAGTCGGTGCTGTGCACTAGGATGCAGGAGGAGCTCCGGACCCCTTCCCGGTGCCTAGAGGGCCCCACGCCTGCTGCGCCCTGCACTGCCCACCCAGGCCTGTTCCCACCCCTGAATTGCACCCTGTCACAGGGTCCCCTACAGAGGCCCCACGAGGGTTTGCCAGACAGGGCAGTACCCACCAGAGACCCCGGCAGTGGCAACGGCCCCCGCCTCGCTGCCCCCAGGCACCCTGCTCCTGAGGACAGGCGGCACCCTGCCCTCGGGGCCCATTGGGTGTGGAGAGGCTTCGGCCTGGCTCTGGTCGTGAGAGCATGATGGGCCAGCGGGCCTCGGCAGCTCGCAGATGACTGTCCTCACTCAGGCCCAGACCGCCCGCCCTCCTGGCCGTGCAGACCCAGAACCTGGGCACGGTTTACACCCTTGGCTGTTCCAAGAACACTCTCTTCCCTGGCAGCTCCCACTCGAGCGTGGCCCCTCTGCCCAGACGCCCTTCCTGTGCACGCCAGCCAGGGCCTGCTGCTTCCCTCTGCAGGGGGACACAGCTTCTGGGGTCACAGGCCCTTCAGATCCTCTTCTCGGAGCAGCCATTGAGCACCTTCTGTCTACACTGCCCTACAGAAGGCATCTTGGAGACGCTGGTACAGTGCCTAAGACTTTGGAGCAAAGACAGCAGATACACGCACGCGCGTGCATGCGCGCGCGCGCACACACACACACACACACACTTCTACAGTAAGTCAGACAGTAGTGAAGGGAGGGCCACCAGGCTGGCTGAGAACCTCGGGAGGGGCTGGTGGGCAGCAAGTAGGGATGAGGAGGGCAGAGGAGGGGGCTCCGCAGGGGCAAAGGCTGGTGCCAGGAAGACAGCGAGCACCCTGGCTTGAAGCCCTCCAGGCCCAGCGGAGGGAGTGGGACTCCACGGAGGGCAGATACAGATGGACACTGCTGCTGACATGACAGCC